CAGTTGCTCAGAAACTGAAAATAAAATAAGAATGCTGACAACCCATGAGGGTAGCCTCTGATTACTACCTAATATTATCTGGAGGAGAAACTGACATGGAGGGCCATTGTTCAAGAGATAGCAGAGTAACTGTACCTCTTGAAACTTCACTGAAATGATAGTGAGCTCTTTTTAATAGATATAAACCTCATGAGACCAAAATGAATGGAAGAGAAGCCATCCACAGATAAAACGACAACTTTTTTGGAAGTTTGAGCAGTAACTTAGCAGAGTAGAAAAGGCTAGATTCCAAGTGCCTGCAGAGGGAGAAGTCCCCATTTTCCTGAAAAAAGATGCATAGGGTACTCATCTCCTGAAACCCTGAAAGTGGGCGGGGGGGGGGGGAGAGAAGCTAAAAAACACAATTGGCAACACAGTCTGTATCCAGAGCAACTGGGCTCCCAGGTATTTCCCCACCCAACACCAGCAGGCTGCAAACGAAAGAAGCCTACAGTTCTCTGCTGAAACAAAGAGTGAAATGAAGCTCTCTGTCATCCCGGCCAAAGTCTCAAAATCTCCCAGCCTCACATTTAAGATGCTCTGAGCACCTTGCCATTGCTCAAAGAGGGAAGGAGCCGGGAGAAGGAAGCCAGGAGATCCCGTGGCTCCTGTCCTCTTGTATCAGGAAAGCCAATGTTTTCCCAGAACCACTCTCTTTCTTCCCTGGCTGAGGTGTGCTTATGCCTCTTGGCCATCCTCAAGTTCCACGCCACACTGGATACAGAGAAACTGAAGAGAGACACCATGCATTACATACAGCCTTCCCAGGAGAGGCAGGCAGGAAAAAGAAGGATGGGGGTGTGGCTTCTTGACAGGTAGAAGCAATGATTGTGGGGGAGGAGGTATTGCGGGGGGGGGGGGGGKCTCTTTTCTTGGGCTGGTTGGGTTCTCAATGGGAACTTCTCCAACCCTCTGCCTAGCAGGAATGTGCTCATGACAGCCAGTATTCCAACACCCAACAGAAGTAGGGAGCTAGAAGCCTCCTTACTCTTGCCTCTGATGTATCAGATGCCCCCTCCCAAAGTCAAGAGACTGAACAGGGGAGGACTCCCTGGCTGGGAGACTGGAGAAGGCATCTCTTTGTCTGCTGGTCTTTGTGTGGCTTTCCCCCAGCCCCACCCTGCACCTCCCTCTGCCTTCTAAGATGCCTCGTGGTCCAGTGTTTCTGGGTTCTAAGACCCTAATACACTTGCTTGTTTGCCCACCTCCACCTCAGGAATTAGCAGAGTGACAAAAATAGAAACAAAACAATTACTACTCTTTTCATCCACATATCAGCTTCAGTCCCTCACCTCTATGGAGAAGGGATAAATAAAGGGTGGTAGATGCATAATATGGAACACTCTGCAGCTATCACAAGCAAAGAACTGGCTGCCCACACCATGGATTCAGCTCAAAAGCAGAGCATTCAGGGGGAAACATAAGAAAAGAATGAAATCTAGAACAATACCCATTTATATAATTGAAAAGTGCACGCACACAAATGGCCAATAAACCATGCAAAAGTGTTCAATTTCATTAGTCATCAGGGAAATGCCAATTAAAACCACAATGTAAAACCTCTGCACACCCACTCAAGTGACTACAATGAAAATGACAAAAATACCAAGTGCTGGAGAATGTAGATGAACCAGAATTAGTACACATTCACATAACGCATTTTCACTGCTAGTGGAAGGCACAGTGGTAGAACCACTTTGGAAAACTGGCCACGTCCACTATAAGTGAACCCTTGCTCTCCAATGACTCGGCAACTGAACACTTGCTCTCTGATGACTCAGCAATTGCACTCCCAGGTAGTGCCTGGCAGAAGTGCGTATAAATATTCACCCAAATTCATGCGCTAAAATATGCATAGTGCACTGTCCATAATGAACCCAGGCTAGAAACTACCCAAACAAACCCTCATCATCAGCAAAGTGGACAAATGTCGATAGATTCCCATGATGACATTCTATATAGCAATGAGAACAAATACGCTACAACAAACAGCAATTTGGGTGAATCTCACAAACACAAAGCTGATCCAAAGAATCCAAGCTTAAAAGAGTTGGTGCTTTATGGTTCCATTTATTTGTTTATTTGGTACCAGAGATTGAACTCTGGGGCACTCAACTACTGAGCCACATCCCCACTCCTATTTTGTATTTTATTTAGAGACAGAGTTTCACTGAGTTGCTTAGTTGCCTCACCATTGCTGAGGCTGGCTTTGAACTCACGATCCTCCTGCCTCAGCCTCTGGAGCCACTGGGATTACAGGAGTGTGCCACTGCGCCCGGCTCACAATTCCATTTTAAATAAACATCAAAACAAGGAAAAACTAGCAGAGGGAATTTGATGATATCACAGTAGTTAATCCTGGGGGAGGGGGGGTTACAAAAGTGCAGGAAGAGAGAATGAGAGAGAGATGTAGATTGGCTTCCTTGTGCTGATTTTACAGATGGGTTCTACTGGGGGGAAGCCCTACAGCTGAATATTGAGGATGTACACATTTCCAACTGTAGGTTCAACAGAAGCAAAACATACATAGAAAAGCTGAGGACAGGGCAAAAAAAAGTGCACAAACAACACGTATTTTACAAGGGTATGTATGTACTTAAAGACCTACTTTCATCTATCAGAGAGGACGCCTTGCGTGGGGAGGTAATTAGCAGTGGGGTAACAGTAATGGGAAAGAAATACAGTAATACAAGAGAAGAATCTTGCACAGATCCACGCAAGAATACGCTGAATCCAGCTCCAGGTCTGAGGTGAGGGGAAGGGTGAGAAATAGGGAATACAGGTTTTAAAAACCCTTTGACTAACTACTAACTGCATATTCTTCTTACTGCCTTAATTAAATAGGATCTGACACAAAGAGGGGAGCTGGCCAGATCTTGGCATGGGTTACTTGTCTGAGGCACGGTCTCCAGGTGCCTTGCCCTTTCCTGCCCTCTGCAGCTTCTGTCCCCCCCACCAGATGTGTTTTTATGGCTGACTCTCCATAGGGTCACGGCTTTGATTACTTCTCTTCCGTGGACTTCTCCCCACCTCCTTTAAATCCCGGGTGAATGTCAATCACTGGTTTAGTCCAACTCTCCTGCAGGCTACATCTCATCCCCAGCCCTAAGGAGGAATGTGGAAAGCCCACCTGTGCCGGCTCTCAGCACTGCCCCCCACTCCCCAGTACTTCTGTTCCAGCCCTCTCTTCTCCTTGGACCAATGCCCATTTTCAAGTTTGAATCTTTATTCTGGGTTCAGACATCGGTGGTGGTGGAAGATCTCGGAAAAGGAGGAAGTTTCCTTCTACTGACTCTCCTCCCTCCTAGTAGATCTGAGCTTGGGAAGGCGTGTCCCATGCTCGAAACTGAAATGTTGACAAGGACCCAGTTTCTCACTCTCACCGCTAGTGGGAGCTGCTGGCTAACCTGAGGCCAGGCAGGGGCTACAGGCAGGCAGGAGATCTGTGGTCCATCTGTCTGACCGCCAGACATCCCGTCAGACTCAGAGCCAAAGGCCTGTGTCCTGAACTTTCCTGCAGACCGACTTTCTTACTGATCCCTTCTGTAAGCATGCGCAGCCCTTCTGTATACACATAAGGCATCCAGTGACCCCGAGAGCCCCACACCCAGGTCCCAAAGGGATGCTGACACTCTCCCACCCCCACTTCTTCAAAATCCTAATAATAGAAGATCAGGTTCCAGCCTTTGGGCTTCCAAACCCAGCACCTGTTTTGCTCAACAAAACAGAAGCTTCTAGGAGCCTTGAAAATGTCCAGGAAAGTAAAAAGCTACTAGAAAAATAATAAAGGCTGTGTGTGTGTGTGCATGTATGTGTACATGGGTGTGCTCCTGTGATGGCACTGGGCAGTGGCCCAGTCCCAGGGAGACATGCACTGTCTCCCTGGGAGACAAAACCTGGTGGCCTGTCATTTTAAACAGAAGAGTGCTCCAACGTATTCCGTATTCCAAGTGTTACCCTGTCGATCTGCCTGGGTGTGTAAATTAATGTTTCTCTGTATGTAAATCTGTGCCCACATGTGAATGACTGTATCACACTGTGATAGAGTCCTTGAGTGAGTGACTATACATGTCAGTGACTCTTTATCTCTGTATGTGCCAAGGAGAAGGCTGTACCTAGCTCAAGAGTGTATGTGTGTGTTTGTGTCGGGGTAGGTGTCTGTGTTTGTTGGTTGCAAGCTTGATTCTGGGTCTGGTTGTGTGTTTGCTTCTGTCAGTACATGTGTGTCAGTGTGTCCATGTAGGTATCAACTATTGTGCAGGTTTCTGTACTGTACTGTATGTCTCTAGGAGAGTGTGGTTCTTTGTGTGTGTGTCAGGGTGCCAGTGGATGTATGTCTGAGCAGTGTGGGTGACACTGCCTCAGTGTCAGTGTGTGTCAATGATGTGTCTGTTTAATTCCGTGTGGGTGTCAGGGTGTATCTCATCTCTCTCAGTGTGCATGTACGTGTGTGTCGGTGCAGGTATGCAGATGTGTGTCTGTCTCAGAATGGATGTCAGTGTGTGTCCAGTGGATGGGTGGCTGGCGTAGAGGGTCCCCAAGTCAGCGAGGAGATGTGTGTATATACACTTCCCGCTTGTGCCAGGGTGCTTGCCGGTGTTTGTCGGTGTGTGCCTGTCCGTGCTTGCGTGGGTGGCTCTCTGTGGCGAAGCGTCCCCAGGTCAGTGTGCGTAAGCCAGCGTGTGTCTGTGTGTCTGTCCGGTGCCCGCGTGGGCGGCTGTCTATGGCAGGGCGTCCCCGGGTCAGCGTGGGGGTGTGCGCCCCGGCGAGTGCCGGCGTGTTCACCCTCCTAGCGGGCGGAGCGCCACGTGCGGAGCCCCGGGCGCGTCGCTCTGGGGCGGAGCCAGCCCGGGGCCCCAAGCCCCAGGCCGAGCCCAGGCGGGGCCCGCCCCCGACCCCGCCCCCAGCCCGAGCCCGCGCCGCCCGCCGAGCCCGGGAGCCCGAGCCGAGCCGCGGAGCCGAGACGGCGGCGGCGCCCGTGGGATGCGGGGATCGCGCCCCCGGGGCCGCTGAGCCTGAGCCCAGTGCCCCAAGCCCGTGCCGAGCCGAGTCCGCGCCGAGCCGCAGCCGCCCACCGCGGGGCCGGGCCGGGGGACCAGCAGGTGAGCGAGCGCCCCGGCTCCTGGCAGCCCTGGCCCGGCCGGAGCCCCCTGCGCCTGCCGCCGCCCAACTTTCCTCCCCGAGGGCCGGAGCTCCAGCCTCTGCGCGCCCCCTCCCCTGCCCAGGGTCCGGCTGGTCGCTCCCTCCCCGATCGGTGCTCCTGAGAGTGGAAACGGGGAAGAAGGGGCACAGGTCGCCCCGGCTGGAGGGGATCCCCCGGGGGCGTCTCTGATAGCCGGGTGCCTCCTTCCCCTTCCCTTTCCTTCCGGGTTTCCCTGTGCGCTGTCGAGGGCCGGGGGAGGGGGAGCTCCGGCCCCGGCTTCCCGGCCATCCCTGGCGCAGGCTCGGGGACAGTCTAGGTTTGGGACCCGGATTCCCGAGGCCGGAGACCCCAAGGTCAGAGCGGCGATGAGGCGCGCAATGAATGTGTTTGCAGAGAGCGGGGGTGAGGGGGCCGACAGCATAGTACTGGGGATGGGGGAGAAGGCCAAGCACCCTCTTTCCTTGGGCCCAGGGGATCCGTCCGCTGGGGCTATTCTCTCTGTTGGACGAGATCTCTGAGCGTCTTGAAAGGAGATCTCAGTGAGCGCTAATGGGAGAGAGATCTACGTGTGTGCCCCATCTCTGGGCGCTTGGACCACGAAGAGATCTAGGCACCCTCTGACACCCCAAAGTACCCGCATCGCTGCTATCTGATCTCTGCCCTGCGAAAGCGAAGAGATGTCTGGGTGCTGAGATTCGGGAGAGTTCTCTGCCCTCCTAGCTCTGACCGGGACAGATTGACGCTCCCTGACAGGAGGCGGCTCTTGACCTCTGTGCTATTTGATCGTCTTTGGTGGCGCCCTGGGAGAAAGTGGAGGTGCCTAGCCTTGTCTGAGGGGCCAAGGTCTGGTGGGGGCAGAGGTGGGGGTAGGGGTGGCGGCGGCGGTGGTGGTGGTGATGATGGGGGCAAGGCTGGGGCCAAGGCCCGGCTGTAGGCCTGACTTGCAGACACCTGTTGGAGGGCAGCGCACAGGCACAGCAGCGGCCCTGGCAGAACTCACTGTTCCCTTTCCTGCCTTGAGCCTGGCTGGGCCGTGGTATCCTGTTGGGGTCCTGGGATGGCTTTCCGTTCCCCAACTGTTTGCTTACCCCTGAGACTCCAAGCACCTCTCCCCGTGAGCAAGACAGAACCATCCAGACAGACACACCTCATGACCCCCACCATGCCAGGTCACCACAGCCCTCTCCCAAGTTCCTACCAGGCCTCAGGACCTAGAGGGACCCTGAGCAGCAGAGATCCAGACTAAGAAGAGTCAGGACCCTTGATTCTGCCCTCCACTCCCATCTCCTTGACCTCATCTCCTCCCAGTGAGAATTAGGCAGGTGTACATGAGTGGTGGTAATGAGTGGCAAGGTGGAATTAGGATGAGACAGGCTGCTGTCCCAGGAGCACACAGCAGGGGAGGGGTGGAGGGGGTCTAGGGACAGACAGGGTGTGGAGCAGAGATTCATTGCTAGAATGGACAAAGTGCTGAAAAGAGCTTTTTAAAACTTTTCATCTAACCCTATCACCACCACCACATTGTAGAAGTGGGGAAATCAAAACCCCGAGGGGGTCAAGGACTTATCCAAGGTCACAGAGAAAGCATTAGATTGGGGGCACCACTCAGGGTGAAGATCCCTTGAAATCCATTTCCCGGGGGCCAAATGGACCTAGAACTAACCAATAAGGATCTGAGGAGAAAGAGAACTGGCCCCAAGGTGCCAAGAACCACATTCAGCCCAGTGTGGCATGGGCAGCTGATGCACTCCAGGGCGCTCAGCCTGGCGTTATGTGGTGATCAAAGCTACTCTGGAAAAATTCCAGGATTGACTCATTCAGCCTGAAGAACAAGCTTGAAGGAATGGTGGGAAGCACCAGAGACAGCTGGGAATGGAGGAGCAGGGGAGGCTGGTACCCAGGCAATCCAAAGAGCAGGGAGTCCTGAGGGCAGCCTAGGACAGTGATAAATAGCAGTTTCGATTTCACAAGGACTAGTTCCTGTTGATCCTTGGGAAGGTTTCTTGAAGGGTTTGCAATGATGTCCCCAGAGCCCACTCAAAGGAGGGGGTGATTACCTTTGAACAGGAAAATCAGGGTTATCTTTCTAACAGAAATAAACCTTCCAAGCATGGTCTGGTGGTGCACACCAGTAATCCCAGCCACTTGGGAGGCTGAGGCAGAAGGATTCAAGTTCAAGACCAGCCTCAGCAACTTATCGAGGTCCTAATCAACTTTGCAAGATCCTATCTCAAAAAAGAAAAAAAAATAATAACTTTCCACCTGGGTTTTGAAGGGTGAATAGGAGTTTTAAGGTGAGACCAGCACACTTTAGCCATCATAACCAGTATGTACAAAAGTACTGAGATGTGAAACAGCACAGTTAGTTGAGTGATCTGCTGGGTCCTCTGGTGTGAGGCAGAAAAGAGCAAAGTAGAAGCCAAGATCACCGTCACAGGGACCCTTATGAGCTATGTTCAAGAATTGGGAATTTATCCTCAGTAATGGTACTAAAAATAGTAACATTGACTGAGCGCTTTCTCTAGGCCAGGGATGCGCTGCGCACTTTACAAGTGCATAAACCCTGGCAGCCAAGACAACAATAATGGCCATTTTGCAGAGGGTGAAACTGGAGGCTCAGAACTTGCTCACTGTCACACGTCTACCAAGTGGCAGACCTTGGGTTTGAGCCCCGGTGTCAATGTATCTGCTCTGTAATATGCCAACCTCTCCAGGGCAGACCATAGGTGCCAACCCGAGTCTTTCAGTTGAAGGAGAGGTGACAGGCAAGTTAGCACAGGTGACAGAGCCATCTCCCTTCTCCACTAAGGAATATGCTCTCTGCCATCCCTGACTTTGGCGGCTCACCCAGTGAGGTGTACTGTCCCCATATCACCCTGTGAGGTGGCATGGGCAAATGAAATCTGGGTTGACAAACTTGATGAAGAGCAAAGGAGAAGTGACTTCTCAGGCTCTGCCTTGAACCTGTCGTACTTCTAGGGGGAGATACTAACATCCAGCAGGGAGTTGGAGGGAAGGATCCAAGAAGGAAGTGTGTTCCAGAAGGAGATCTGGGCTGGAGGTGGGAACTGGGAGCGGCCAGCAGAGGCTGGTCATTGGAGCCACAGTGGTGAATTAGATGGCCCAGGGAGAGGGCTTGGTTCTCAGTCCTGGTGACACTCACCACACTTGGAAAGCTGTATATAACAATACCCGTGCTCAGACTGTTCCCCACAGCATGCCAGTTCATCTGGTTCTGGAGTGGAGCTTGGGGGCATCTGTAGCTTGAAAGCATCCAAGTGGTTCCAAAGGGGTATAAGGAGTGAGAGGAAGGAGAGTGGGGTCAAGAGCCCAGAAGCACTTCCACAATGGAGGCAGAAGTGGGCAGAGGCCGGAAGGAGCAACCAGAGTGGCAGCAGGAAAACCAGGAGTCCCCTGCCCTTTCTACTGAGAGACTTCGGAAAATACCTTCTGGAGGCCAGGCATGGTGGTGCACACCTGTAATCCCAGCAGCTTGGGAGGCTGAGGCAGGAGGGTCACGAGTTCAAAGCCAGCCTCAGCAACTTAGGGAGGCCCTAAGCAACTCAGCGAGACCCTGTTCTCTAAATAAAAAAATAAAAGGGGACAGGGAATATGGCTCAGTGGTAAAGCACCCCCTGGGTTCAATCCCCAATACCAACAAATAAATAAATAATTTTTTTTTAAAAAACTCCCTCTGGGAAGTTCATGGATAGATATCAAAAAAAAAAAAAAGTATAAGTGATTTAAAAAGAAGTTCCTATTAGGCTGAGCAACAGTGAAGGTGCTGTTGACCTTGGCAGGAGAAATTCCGCTCCCAGTGCCACAGAACGTGGTGCCCCTCACAGGCGGTTCTGGAGGATGAATGAATTGGTGGGAAGGGAAGCCAGGTGGAGCGGGTTGAGGAGTGAGAAGGAGGTGGAGACAGCATGTGTAGACAGTACTTTCAAGGGGCTTGATGGTTGAAGAGGGAGGAGAAAGATAGAGGGGAGCTGGCCAGAGGTGGGGTCCAGGGAGAGCTGTAGGGAAAGCCTGACGTGGACCCTCTAGCAGGTGTGTTCCGCAGCCCACCCGCGGGCAGGCACTCACGGGGGGGGGAAAAGCCTTTCCCCCAGAGCGAGGGGCCGGATGTCTGCAGCTGAAAACTGCGCACCATTGGTATACAGTTGTCCTTGTTTATTCACGGAGCCAGTCAGGAAGGCCCAGGTTCAGTGTCTCTTCCTGTGAACCCCAAGAGAGGCTGCGGTGGTGGAGCTGGGCAGGGGAGCAGCCCTTGCTGTGGTAAGAGAAGGGTATTCCAGAACACCGCATTCAGAGACGGACACGCGATGAGGGTGTCTAGGGCAGGTATCCAGGGTGACAAAAGTGGGAACGGACGGGCTGGGGTAAAAGTCCTGTGGCTGAACCTTAAAGGAGGCAGAGGGAAGAGAAGGCCAGGGAGCTGCCTGCAGGCGGAGGCTGGGCAGCCAGGGAGCAGATCAACGACCAGGATGGCAGAGGGGGCAGAGTGAGCCTGGGTTGGACGCCCCTGCCTCCTTCTAGCCCAGGATGGCCTACCATAGAGTTCAGCCTGGGGTGGTGAGGGAGAGCCTGGAGAGGACATTCAGCACCTACTTTGTGCCATGGAAGATTCTAGAAGGTATCCCAAACAGATAAAATAACCGCTCTCATGAGGTTTTTGCATGTTAGTAGAGTAAGACAGACTGGATAATCACTAAACAAATAAGGACAGAAGATAATTTTGGTGAGTGCTATCAAGGAAATGAAACAGGGGTTGGAGACAATAGGACTGGCTAACCAGGAAATGCCTCTTGAAGTAGGAAACGGATTGGAGACCTGAATAACAAGAAGGAAAACCAATACTTAAGAGATCTGGGAGAAGAATTTTGAAGAGGAAACTGCCCGTGCAAAGGCCCTGAGGCAGGAACCAGCTAGTGGGCTGGCGGCTGTGGCAGGAGCAGA